ATTTCCGCTTGTCGTATCTTTTATTTATTAAAGTAAAAGATGTTCGAAAGCAATTCGAAGTCTTTATGCGTAATCTCCGTTGCAAAGTAAGTGTTGAATTTTTAACCTTTTAAGCTTAACGTAGTATTTTCGATACTTAGCTATTGCTTACTTTTTTTAAAAAGAAAAAGTAATAAACTCGTATTAAAAGCGATATTAAATCGAAAAAGTAAAGTATATCAAACGAATAATACTTCGAGCGTATCGCCGTGCAAAGTAATTTAAATAAATAATACTTTATAAATACCGAATTGAACTTTAACTAGCTCGATCTTCGAACTAGAATAACGACTTTCTAAGTGATACTTATCGAGTATACCGAATAACATGCTCGACGGACATAAATCGAAAAAAAATCGCTTCTAAAGCAATAGCTTCGAAGCTTATATATAAAAGCATTTGATTATTAGCTTAGCGTATATCGAATACTCTTTGAAAGAGCACCGCAAAAGCATATAGCTAATAGCTTAGCGTATAACGTAAACTCCGAATATATAGCTTTTCGCAAAAAAAGTAAGTCTAAAAAAAGTATAAAGACCAACCTTCGGTTCGATTCTTTACGTAAGTTATTAAATATATATAAAAAAGAAGAGCTCCGACATATACTTAATATTAAATCAAAAAATATATATAAATATAGCTATAATAAAATCGTAAGTGCATAAAAAGGAAAAAGAAAGACGATCGAAAGACACTCGATTGTATGCTATAAGTACGTATGTAAGCTCTACTCGCCTTAGCGGGTCGGGAGGTCTCAGTTGCAAATGCAATTGCTCAGCGGATGTCGACAATTGCGGCGATAAAAGTAAACGCAAGGTTCATTCGTGCAATAATAGTTTTTAACACGTTTTTATAAGCCGAATACAGCTTGTCGGCAAGACTTTTGTCGTCTCTTAAACTTGGTCGTAATAAGCCTTAAATGCTCTTAAGCTCTTTAGCGAGCTTTTCAAAGCACTCGTTAAGCGAAGTCCTTAGATTCTTTTTTTTGATTAAATTTAGCGAAATTTCCTTTTAGCGATCGTATTTTACTTGCCGCCGGTGGTCAATTTCGAAGTAGTCTTTTACCGCAATAGCATTAGCTTTAAATGTCGAAAGCTTAACCTTAATAACGTAATTGTAATAAAAAGTAATAGCTTCTTTCGTAAATATAATTAAAAACGCTGCTAAATAATCGTCGGATATCAAGCCGTACCGACTTGCTTAATTAGCGAAAATACTTAATTAAGTTTTAAAGTCATCGTCGGATCTCGAATATTTTAACTTTTTAAGAAAGCTTCGTACGAACAAAGCTAATTCTTTCGCTCTTAAGTAAAAGTCTGCTGCTCTTAGCTTAAGGAAATCGTTATTATTATCGTCAAGAGCGCTTAAAGTGCTATACGCAAGTGTGCTATGCTTAGCTAATAATCTAATCGGTAAAAAGTTATCGATATAATTGCCGGTGATCCGTCTTTTTTCAAAGTCTTTAAAAAGCTTATTTCCGGATCCGAAGTCTTTTAAAAGTCCGTTTCCGAGTCTTCTTAATAGTTTAAGAAAGCCGTTCTTACTTTTTCCGTATCCGTGTCTTCGATTTTTTTACTAATTTTTCCTGTTCTTTTTTCGTCGGTCATCGTTATAATCGCTAAAGTTATTCGGATTATCGATTAAAGCTTTAACTTAATAATATCCGTACTTTTAAGCGCGCTTTTAGCGATTCTTATACTTTTAGTATCTTTCTTATCGATACGTAGCTTGTTAAAAGATTTAAAAAGCTTGTCGGTACGTCCGAAAGTGCTAGATCCTTTTTTCGGGTTGCTAAAGTTAAGCACGGAAATCTGCACGCTGTCCTTAATAAAAGCTGATTTTATCCGGAATGCTCTTAGGTTTTAGCGGGTCTTCTTTTAGCGTATAGCTCCCGTAGCCTCGAGTGTTGTTTAGTCTAATAATGATCTTAAGACCTTTATTATTTTTGCTATTAAGCTTAAGCTTTTCAGAAAACTAAGTGTAGCTCTTAAAAAAAAGGTTTAAAGGCCGCTAAAGCGATTTTAGCTCTTATTATATAATTAGCGTATTGCGTAGCGATTAATAAATTAAGAACGTCGAGTACGCTAAAGCGCTTCGTCGTAGCCTTTCGTTAAATTATATAACGTAAGTCCGTAATTCCGCTATTTGCTTTGCTATAGCTTTTATATTTCGTTTTATATCTCTTTTCTTTTTTAAAAACTTTTCTCGTAACTTTTGAATTTTCTTTCCTTCTTCTTTCTTACTTAAGGTCTCTTTTTCCTTTCTTTTTAAGCTTCGCGGAAGTAAAAGTGAAAGTAGTTAAAGTATAATATCTTCGTCGTTCGTAAGGTTTTCGGCGGTCTATTTTAAATCGAGGCTTAAAAGTATTGCTTATTACTCTTTTATTTTTTCGAAGGTCTATTAATGCTATTGCTCGTCGTTTAAAAGCTTGACCATCTTATTAGCGTAGCCCTTTTGCTTTAAAAAGCATTACACGCTTTTAAATAGCAAGTGTTCTTTAAGGCTAATAAAAGTAGCAAACTTAAAGCTTCGTCTTGTATTATTTTTCGTTATCGTAAAGCTCGTTTAATCTTAACGTAAGAAAGCGTGTTAAAATAAGCTTTATAAGTCGTAATCCCTTAGCCTTTTACACTTTGCATTTAAGAAGTCTTTTATTATTGCTCGAGCTGTAATTTTATTATCGAGCTTTACGTATAATAGCTCGTTTAAGTCAAATAAGATGCTCGATATCTCGTCGTTTAGTCTTTCCGAAAGGCTTAAGAGTCTTAAGTATAATGGTCCTTTTAGCTAAATAGCTAAGGGTTCCGTAAGTAATGATAAGACTCGAAAGGTATAATACTTTACTACTTTTTATCGGCTAGACTCTTTACTTAAAAGTCTAGTTGCTCGATCGGCTATAGTTGTTGTTTGTTTATATATAAATCGATTTAAATTTAATTAAGGTGCTATATATAGCAAGCGCGGCTTTTACAGCGTTAAAATTGTTGTTTTAAAAGTGACTTGGTTCGGAATCATTCTTCCGTAAGAATAAAGAAAAATCAGTAATATAAGCAAGCGACTTAGTACGGAATCGCTTTTCCGTTGTAAAAGAAAGGTATCGTAATAAAAAGTATCTTCGCTATAAAGTCTTAGCTTCTTTGTGATTGATCACTTAGTAGTAAATCAACCACTGATTAATGTTGGATTGCTTTTAAGCGATTAAAAATATATATTCGTAAGGTCGTAACGGTCGTCAAAGTACTTGCAATTGCAAAACACTCGGTTAATAAAGTATTTGAATTCTGTCTGCTCTTTAAAGCTTAAAGGAGCTGATTCCTTTTATATGATTAGAAGGAATCACGTGCACTAGCTAGCTAATAAGTTTATTTGTCAAGTTAAGGGTCCTTTAACTGCTGACATGTTAAGCGAAGCATGCCAAGTAGCCCGTAAACCCTGGTTCACGGGTGAACTTCCCAACTATTACTACTACTATTACTACTAGCTAAAGTCGATATAAATATACCGATAATTAGTTCAAAGAAGAACTAACTACTCGTCTATATAAGAGCTTGCACGTAACTTAACTACGTGCTTAGCAAAGCTAGAGCATGCAGCGCACCCACGTGACAAAAGTGCCTAGCATCAGTACTATATACATAGACAAAACAAATACAAAGCCGCAACTCCACCACAATATTGTTTTTGTAATTAAATAAAAATGTTATAAAAGATATTAAAAAGAGTTAGACTCGAAAGATTATCTTATATTTTCGTTGCTATTTTTATCTTCTTTATTATATTATATACGCTCTCGTATTAACATCGATCCGACGATGCATTATTAAGTAGTACTTTAAGACCGTATCACGATTATGATATTCGATTATATGCTCGTCTTGCAAATCTAACCTTATTACCTTAATAAAAAGTGACTCGAAAGCGAGTTTGATTCGAAAGAAAGACGTATATAATAGAGTTAAGGTTTTATATTTATTTTGTTTATATATATAATACTAATGCTAAGCACTTTTATTACGTAAGTGCGCCGTATGCTTTAGCTTTATTAAGTACGTGGTTAAGTCACGTGCAAGCTCTTATATAAACGAGTAATTAGTTCTTTTTTAAACTAGCATCATATTATTATATAATACAATATACGTATTTACAAAACACATTCGAATGTCCTTCGATCGTCCTCTTTTTCCTTTTTTATTTACTTACGATTTTATTATAACTATATTTATATATATTTTTTGATTCGACGTTAAGTATATATCAGAGCTCTTCCCTTCCACAATAGCCGGGTTCTCTTAGACATTATCTTATACTATTTTAGCTCGCTCAGCTTAGTTAGCGGCTTTGTATTTATTATACCGAAGAAAATAGCGCTAAAAGTCTTTTTATTGCATATCCGTAACACTTTATATAAAAAAAGCTGCTATAGCGTTTGGCTAAGACTTAGTTAATGCTTTTAGCTAATAGCTTTGCTTCTATTAAAAAAAACGAGTGCTATCGATAACTTGCTTATAGCGCACGATCTAATTAAAAAGGGCTAGCTGCTCTTTTAATTGATCTCGTAAACTATTAATACTTAAGTCCTTGATATCTTTCCGAGACTTAATAAAGTAAGAAAATACTTTTGCGACTTTAAAGCGCATTAAAATTAGGCTGCTCCATGGGGTGGGGGCCCCATGGGGTTTTCCTCCCCATTCCCCCCATAGGGTCTTGGCCGATGAGGGACTTTTTTTTTTAAACCCTATAGGGAGGATTTTTTTAAGTCAAATTCCCTACGGGGGATGGGGAAACCCTATGGGTTTAAAGTAAGACAGCTAAAAATAATATATGTGGGGCCGCTAAAAATAAAACAAATTTACGAATATTTACTAATTTTACTTAATCATTATATTTATTTATTATATTTATTAATCATATATGTTATACTTTACAATTACATTGCATTACATTATAATAAACTAAAATTACTAAACAAAACTTCTAGTCATGATTTCCCGCAATTTCCTAACTAACGCTATATCCTTGTTTTGAATCGTTACTCGTTTAGCGTGAATAGCACATAAGTTCGTTACTAAAAGTGATTAGTAAATCGATTAGTAAATCGATTAGTAAATCGATTAGTAAATAAATATATAAGTACTTACTTTCAAACTCTCTTACGAGGAATGCCTCTGAAGCTTCTTGTAAACATTTTAAAGCACCGCTTTGAAATTTAAAGTTTTGTTTAAAATCGTAAGTGATCTCTCGAACAAGACGCTGGAAAGGAGTCTTTTTGATAAGAAGCTCGGTGCCTTTTTAGTATCGTCGGATCTCTTTTAACGCAATAGCTATATAAATCAGTAATTGTACTTGAGAATCAATTTATTAATTGATTGAACTTACTTCTTGGCTTATAGCGACGGCGCTTTCGTTAGCTTAGACCTCTTTTTTTCGCAACAACTATAGACTTCTTAAGATACTTGCCTTTTTTGGATTTTTAACGAGAAGAAGTTTTAGCTGCCGAAGGTGATTTGCTAGCTGATAGAACGGAGCGAGCAGCTTTAGCCGTCGAAAGTGATTTTTTAGCTCTTTTGTATTAAGAAAGAGGAATATCATTTTCACTTGAGTTTTCCTCATTATCGCCTTGCTCTTCTTCATCTGTATCACTATAAGGCATCGTCCTCGTCGCGGTTTTTGTAGCTATAATTGGGCCCGGGACAGTGAGAGACCCTTTAGGAGCTTTTTGCGCGAAAGCTTTTTTAATGCGATTGCTAGTAGAAGCAGAAGAAGGTTCAGCAGCTGCAAAAGAATTGTTTCTAGCACTTAAGTCGTAAGACGGATCCTCGTTTTGAAGCTGAGCTGATGCACTCGCTTAGCTCGTCGATTGTTGTGTTGCTTTTAAAGCAGTTCTAAAACAATTAGCGAACGAAAGAAAAAGGTTTAAAAAGATTAAACTTACTGAAAGCTGTTGGTACTTATGCTAGTATTATCAAGAACGATGCCTTTGTTCATTTCGGATTGAATAGCCGGAGTATATCTGACTGCGTTTGCTAAAGAAAAATTTGATTAGTAAATATTTACTAATCATAAGTCAAAAACATTACCGGATCGAGGTCTAAGAGATGATAAGTGCTAGTCTGTATTTGCGCGAGAGTTTGTTGGTGTTTGAAGAGCGTCACTTAAAATAATAGAAATTAGCAATTATTAATTAATAAAGTAATTAATACTTACTAGCTTGACCTTGAGAAATTCGGCGAGAAAAGGACGGGGATAAATCGGTTCTTTGTTGTAGACTTGCAATACCGCGCGAGGTTTCAGGAATTTCTGTAAATGCTTATCAGCCATTTGCAATTGATTTACTAATCAATTTACTAATTAAATACTAACCGGATGGCTGTCGAGTTGTAATAGCGCGGCGCTCAGCAAAAGTAGGGTCAAGAATTTCTGTAAATGCTTGTCAACTATTTGCAATTGATTTACTAATCAATTTACTAATTAAATACTAACCGGATAGCTGTCGAGTTGTAATAGCGCGGCGCTCAGCAAAAGTAAGGTCTGGCGCATCCGTAGCCAATTGAGCTTTGCTAGACTGAAGATAAGGATTTGCGCTAAGCAAAGTAACTGAAAAAGTATTAGTAGTACTCCGATTAATTAAATATAAACTTACTTTATTCACCTTGCAAATTTAAGTTTTCTTCTTTTACGCTTTCGCCGCGTATTGTATCTGCTTCACCTTCTTGTGCTTCGTCCTTATCTGCTTGACCCTCAGCCGCTTGACCTTCAGCCGCCTGACCCTTAGCCGCCTGACCTTCAGCCGCTTGACCCTCAATC